ACAAAAGAATTATCAATGAATTCTTTTGTTATATCCTCCAACATGGCCACCGTGTCTTTTGTTATTTAATTCTCTTGGGAATGGTTGAAAACCATCAATAGCTATAAAAGGAAAAAATGGCACAGATTATGGGGTTAATAGATGCTTTGCACCATCATGTGATGGCAACCATGACAGGAGGCACAATCAAATCTGGTCTAATCTGGTTTACACAAGATAGACTTCAACAAGGAAACAGCTGTCATCAAAATAAAAAGATTTGACCCTCCACAAAAGTTCAAATTTTTTACTGACCCTCCCCTCCCCCCAAACAAAACATGCAATTTCTACTTACAGTAACACTTATGACAGTACTTAGAACAAACAGACTCTGCTCAAAGTCACTGAAAGGTTTGTCATCTTGGCCAAAATTTTTGCCATAATCTACGTCCATGAATACATATGAACCCTGAATCTGTCAAGGAAATAACTTTGATGCTTGATTTTATTCTATCTGTTAATGGCTGACAGCTCAGGGAGATGAGAGAGGGAGAGACCCTTAGTTTTTAGGCCCCCCTTTCTCTCAGATCTATACACATGGCTGCATTCTTTTACAAGGACTGCAGAGCTGGGGGGTAGGGGGCTGAGGGGCTATAGACCCCCAATAATTTTGTGGCCATATTATGAATTACTTGTTAGCACATGTTGTAAATGCCCCTCAAAACACTAGAAATTACACTAACAAGGGTCTCAGTTTATTGATGCTGCCTGTCTCCAAACCCCCCTAGGTGTTCCCGTCTTTGGCAGTCATTAGCCCACCCAATCAAAATTATGCTCCGTGGTCCCTGTCTCAGCCAAGTACTACAGAAGACATACAGTAGCTTTTTCCAGTGAGCAAAGGCGAAGCAAGACCCAAGCAATATTAATGTCTCATCATCTTCTAATAATTAGCTAATTTGCCTTGCTTGGAGACTATTCAGAGGTGTGGGCCTTTATTTTTAACTCAGCGGATCAGAGCACATATGCCTTAGAGCCCAAAGAACAGGTATCCACAGAAAGCCTGAGTAATAATTATTAGCTATTCTATATCAAGAATAAGGATACAGGCTGAACTTCTGTAAAAACTACAAGAAAAAAGAGAAGGAAAATAAGTGCAAATAGTTTAACTTTTTAGTACCTTGGGCAATATTACTCACATGTCTATAGTTGCAAGGTCACCGCTGTCCTCGCTTCAATGCACAGGCAAATTACCTTTATAAATGGTGCAGGAAAATGTAAAGAGGACTATTTTCTCATTGAAGTAACTTTTCCCCTAAAACCCACAGAATGCCATCATAAGCAGAAGTGATCAGAAAAAAAATTTACAGCAAAAATTAAGCAAGCCTTTACATACCTTTACTTGCAGCCTCAAAAGTGTAAGTACCAGTCCCTCCTCCAGTTACAACCTCACAAGCAATATCATTGGCTGAGAGGGCCTGTTAACAACACAATGGCAATGAACAGTTGACAACCTGTCTTCGTTTAAAGTCTGATGATTCTTATGTAGTTTCTACAAGGGGACATTTGAGGGGAAATTTGTTTGGACAGACCTAACCCCTGTTTTAAAGTCAAAGAAGATAAGGAGACAGCTGCAATGTTACTTTTAAAAGACTCTGAATGGCTAACTTTATAAAGAAATAATTTAGATAGCCATAGCAACACTTATCACACCATAAATTATTAAAGTAAAATTGATTTTTTTACTTAGTTTTATGTGAAAATATCATACCAGCCAAAATCTCACTTGCTTAAAAAGCAGACCTTTAGCTCGCATGGGGGGGGGGGGGGGGKGCGAACGCACCCCCTGCACCCCCCCTAGCTATGGGCCTGATTCCTATCATCAGTAAAAATCTATAAAGATCATCTGGTGTTTTTCTTACATCAAGAGTTTTCTTGGTCTTTTCAACTACTTTTCCAACAGCTGCTTGTCTGTCTTCAAATTTTCTTACATGCTGGTTCCAACTGGAACGAAATCATTGATGATATCAGATAATATTATTAAGAGTGGTCTTCTTATTCATAGGGACAGAGAAAATGCTGCTATAAGCCCTTACCCCTGGCCAGGGCTCTTTACCAATGCATTGAAAAAACCTCTGGGCTGATCTAACTCATGGCATGGCTAACCTACAGATTGAACCCTAAATCGAAGTCAGAGGAAGGCAAAGTCATAGATGGAATTGGAATTTAGCATGTTAGGATTTGCAAAAGAAAGAAAACTAGAAAAAAAACACCGAGTATCAAAAATTAAGCCTGATCAAATGAGATGCCAAGTCCTGAACCTAAACCTGAGACCCCAGAGGTGAGAGTTGAGTGCACCCTTGAATCCTAAATTCAAGAGAGGTACTGTATGATAATGTCAATAAATATTATTTATAAATTAATGGTATTTTCTAACTGCAAGTTATAGACTGCTCTACTGAAGTATCTTATTGCTTCTCCCTTAAACAAGTTCCATTGGGATGATATACAATCTATAGTCTCAATTACCCAGAATCAAAACACTGATCTATACTGAGAAAGTCCTCCCCTGCCCTCCCCTCTCAGTTTTGATGTCTTACCCCTGATACGTTTGTATTCCTTTAAAAACAAGATTTGGCAGAGAAATTATTTCCTTGGCCAAAGCAACAACTGGTTCTCCTGGCTCCACACCACATCTATCTTGCCCAACATTAACTTCAACAATGATATTAACAGTTGCACCAAAAACAGAAGCAGCCTGTGATATTTCACGTGCATTTTGGATGTTGTCTACACACACTGAGAGTTTAGTCTGTTTGGCCAAAGAAGCTAGACGATAGAGTTTTGAAGTCCCAATGACCTGGAGAAATGCAAGGTAAACATGTCATAATGATGATGATGATAAGGGTGATGGGGATGATGCTGAAGATGTTGATGATTATGAGAATGTGGTAATCATGGTTATGTACCCTGGATGTACCCTGGGTTGCAGAGGCCCTCTTATTCCAGTGTTTCTAAGTCATAAATTTCATAATATGACCAAGACCCAATGACTGGGAGAGAAGTATTGCAGTAAGTGAGCTTCTGGAATTCAGGGCAATGGTAATGGTGATGATGGTGATTATAGGATGTTGGTGATGGCTATGGTAGTGAAGTTGTTTGAAGAAAAAGATGATTGAGATGGTAGTAGTGGTGGTTAATGATGCCCATTGATGATCATTATAATAGTGATTATAGTGATGAAAATAATGAAGTAGTAGTGGTTTGTTATGCATACATTATCTATAGAAAAATACTTCATTATTAATTACCTCATTGGATATCAAGATATCTTTAATGCCTGCAACAACCTGAATTATGAATAATAATAATAGGAGTTTCTTAATATAGCCCATTTCAAATATCTCAATGCGCTTTACATTTATGACTAGTGGAGGACTTTACAGGCTGCATACAAAAGCACTATTAGCAGCCATTATTAGCAGCCATGCAGCTTACAATCATGAGTGTGAATTGTTAGTAGATTAGCATTATGCCTCCAAATTGGTATAGGCTATTGAACTGGGAGACAATCCCCTACTCTTATACGAATAATTCAACAGGTTCTTTTATGTCCCCCATTTTACTGTAGGTTAAGAGGGGTTGGGAGACAGGGCCTATGGTTTTAAGTCCTTGTCCAAGAAGACTTGAAGGTCTAACCATTCAACATTTTAAAAGTCAATTTTAACCATTCCAAAATTCCAGTCCCAAATGTTTACAACAGCCATCTTAAAACTGCAATCATTGCACAGGTTATCTTACCATACTTTCTGCTTCAGAGAGTTTCTGACAACAAAGACCAACTGCACCATGCTCTACCTAAAAAAAAGGTAAAGTACATATATTTAACGTCAGTAGTTCCTTCAGCTGCAACTGCTATCAATGGAAGTCGATGGTGCGCACTGTTCCATCCGTGCTCTATTTTAAGAGAATTTAAAGCTGAAGCTACACGGATTAGAGAGAAGTTGAAACATGTGGAGATCCTAAGGATCGAACCATGGACCTCAGGCTCTGAAGGTCGAAATAGATATATTCAATAGATTTTTTCAGACAAAATGGAAAAAAGTATCAATTATTTAAATTTATATATAATCCTCAATCTACACCCTGAAACAACATTGAAACTGATCAAAGTCAGGACATTGCTAACTCATAGATTAAGCCCTGAAACAACATCTGGGCTGGTCTAAGTCAGGGCACAACTACAGTAACTGATGGATCCATTTGGAATTCTAGCATATTGTTAGTCTTTGCATGAATCAGTCAATCTATCGATCAAGGGTGAAGGAAGAAAGAAAGAAGGGAAGGAAGGAAGAGAGAAGGGAAGGAAGGAAGAGAGAAGGAAAGGGAGGAAAGAAGGAAGGGAGACAGAAAATAAGGTGTTTTTAATTTGTATACCACTGATGAGAAAAATGAAACCAAAATGGAAAGAATAGTCTATAAAGTTTAGTATAAGTAGTCCACTGACACAACAATCTATCTATCAATCAAAAACTGAATGAAAAATGGCAAAATAATTAATATTGAATCACTGCAAATATTCCTAAAGGCTTTTGTTTTAGATCTAACCTGCAGATGTGCGATCGTTGGACACTTGTGCGCCTTTCCGTGTGGGCGAACCGCGACCCCAGGGAATCTCTCCATGCTTTTTGGCAGCTTTGCGAGATTTCTTTCAAACTTATCTAGATCAATCAAAAGTGCTGGGGTGTCCACTTCGCTAATCTTTTTTCCTATCAGGCTAAACATCCTTGCAAAAGGTTTAAAAAACAGGCTTATTGCTTGTCTTCGTAGAGCCATTCACTAAAAACACGATAACAACCTGGCGTCACTCGCCATGTTTACCCAGAATCCTGTTGGAACCAAGAACCTGGTATTGGGTTACCTGTGTTTCTATTTGCATAATATATCCTTCCCTAGAAATCAAAGTTCTGCAAATCTCTCGATCTTATTCACCCCTCCTTTGAAGAATGCGCTCTGCTCTAAGGTGCGATCGCCCTACTACAAGCGGGCACGAAATCTCGACTGAATCTCTCCTAAAACTAGTGCGTACATCTGACGCAAAAATCACTTCTCCTCCTTTGTCACCTGTCACGTCCTAACACCCAGGGTCTTAAACAACGTAAAATGTAATGGATAATTTATTTAATCAAAAATATTAATTAGATAATAAACCAAAATAAAAAACGATTTCCTTGAAGTGATACCGGAGACGTGATTAGATGATCAAATCCGTGTGAACTCTCTATTGACCTCTCGCTGTTAAACCTCGATTAACCATTATGATAGGTTCCGTCCGATTCCGTCCGGCAATTCAGGTATCGGTTTCATATTCATTCAAGAGAAGAGAGCGTGGATTGTGAGCCAGTCGATCTGAAGAAAGGACTCAGTAACTGCTGTCTCTACACAGATTGAAACGCAAAGTGGACCAAAATGGCAATCTTACACGCCTTACTGTTGGTCTTATCAATGGCCGTTTTACAGCCGACAAGTAAGGTTTTCTCCAATATTTTCTAGTCGTTTAATGTTTTGGCGACCCAGACAGGAATTCCAGATCTAGCACATTTGCTTGGTCTGATTTACACTAAATTTTCCTCATTTAAAAAGCGAATTCCGATGCAACCAAGTTCAAAATTTAACAACTTACCGTCAGAATGCGTGGAAGTTCACTCTTTTTACGCTAAAAACGCGCGAACAACGTAGACATGGAAAGGTGTCAAAAATAAGCCATATTATTAAAAATCTAATTGATCTTCCCCATTGTCCCCAGAACTCTATAAAATAACCAAATAATTAATGAGCTCTTTAAAAAAATAGGATTATGAAATGCTAATGTGGACCTGGAGACTTCAAGTTACGTGAAATTCTATTCCAATTAGTGCACAAAATATATAATTTCGCTATGATCCTACGATCAGATTTTTTTATTTTCCATCTAAAACTGGGTATTATGAAGTTCTACTTCAAAAAATGAAATAGAAGGAAAGGGGGAATTAAACTCTTCCAGACAAGCTACTTCAATCGGATCCCAAAACTACCTAACAATCCGCCTACTCCAATCCGCAACTCTAATTCAGTCAACCAGTTCAGGAATCAAGTCATACCTACATACATACTTAACTGTGGCCAAGCATCTTGATGTCAATAATGTAAATCAGATGGAAGTCCATATGTCCTAAGTGCTGCTCAACACGTGATATCCTCTCCAAAAACTTTGCTGCTTCTAATTTAATTAGTCTGTATCCATTCTACTTCAAAGAACAATCCAAAACAATTAACTTTAATGACATGTTAATGAACTACTAATACTATGATTACAAAATCCTAGATCTACTACTGATATTATACTGTTCTACCAATATTATTTAAGTTTGCTGCTGCTAAGGGTTGGAAAGAATTTCATGCCCAAGGATTTGAGAGAACTTAGCTCTTTATTTTTTAAGCATTTTTTAGATTTTGATAGAAAAGAGCACAAGAGTGTACTGTACGATATATATTTTTTTTATGTATTTATTTCATTATTTAATTTATTTAATTATTTAACCAATAATCTACGCTTAGGCACGGAAATCCCGCGTTTCCGATATATCTTTTGTAGCCTAATGTTTGTATTTTTCTTTTTCGAGGCCCGTATAGACACGGCTAAAAAACCGCTGCGTATGSGCCAAAATTCCCGCCTGTTGCGGAAAACAAGATGGCTGACGATAGAGTGTTTCAGGGGCGGCGGAAGCTGAAAAATTTTGGGGGGGCACTCCAATATTTCACGGTACCTTGAAATGACCCCCCCCCTCCCTGTTTAGCTTGATTACAAACGTGTATGTGTGATATTTCAATCAGTAACATTTTGCGCGCATTACACCACTTGCAATTGTGCTGAGAGACACAAAAATGATGCAAGTCGTCGCTAGATATATCGTATATTTTTTAGATACAGAAAATTATGTAATATCAAAATAATAAATAATGGTAATCATAACCAAATCTCATGCGTTTTTTTTTTTTTGTGTGTGTGTGAGGCATTATATTCTGGGGGAGCCAGGCCCCCCCAAAAAATCTAGTGGGGGGGCCAGTGCCCCCCCGGCCCCCCCGCTTCCGCCGCCCCTGTGTTTCCCGTGCTTCAGAATGCTCATATTTCCAATGACCCCCAGTATTTCAGTTTGACTTTGATTGGAGATCAGGAGCAAACAGATAAATCTGTAGACCCTATTGAACATGTCCATAGTCTTTGAAAATGCTGTTTTGGGACAACAATATTGATAGTCATGGCAAAAATCCGGTTGCAAACCACAACAGACTTAAGCTCAAGACTGTGATATTTCCCATATTTTGTTCATTATTTGTCATTCTTAAACATATCAAATGAGCACCTGATTCTAAGGATGAGTACCAAAACAATTTTTGTCTGACTCGCATTTTTTCCTTTCTTGTACACGAAGTCTTCAACGAGATACCTGGAACCGACTCCTGAACCGATTCCCGTACGAATAACAATCGTGAATAATTCATACGGGAGTGAAAAATGTTGGTAAATATTTGCTGAAACGACTCCCGTACGAATAACAATTGCGAATAATTCGTACGGGAGTGAAAAATGTTGGTGAATATTCAACAACTTATCAGTAGGCTAAGCATCTGATACGGCTTTGGCTTTTTACTCTCGTCACTAGTATTTTGACTTGCCTAAAGGCTCGCCAAAATACTCCGTGACTCGTAAAAATACACAACCGTATCAGATGCTTAGCCGACTGTTAACCTCYATTTCATATTTTGATAAGTAATGAAGAGCATCGCATTTATCAAAAAATCTGAAATGTCAGTTTTCGACGTGAATATAAACTGGGAAAATCGAGTATTTAAAGATGTTCAAATAACGGTGTTAACAGCGAGTGATAGGCCCATCCATTAATCTTTATGATGTTGCACAAACAATCCTTCAACCCCACCCCCTGGTCTCCTCACGCGATAAATAATAATTGTTCCCTTATACTTTTTTTTTTTTTTTGATTACAGAATCCGAAATTATTGTGCCATTTTCTTCAGAAATATTTATCCCATTCGTTGAAATTAATATATTCTGTACGGTTAAAAACGAGCATTTCATTGGTTGGTTTAAAGATGACAGTAACATCAAAATCCCCGTGGTGCCGAGGAGAGCGGACGCGAAAGGCAAACCTGCTGTTGTCATAGAAACTCGTGTTGGCACTCTGAAAAAGACCTGTATACTGATAATCCCAAGAGGAGTCGGTTTTAGAACTGCCACTGGGAGGTATATTTGTAAAGGGCAAAGAAATCAAGAAATAGTCGTTGTACAATCGAGATGTGAGTACACAGTCCTTTCAAAAAAACCGGTTGTCGCTGACCGGCCTAGCGACCACGCGATTAGACCGAAAAGGAGTATGGGTAAAAATCACTGAAGCGGCTAGCTGCATATATTTTTAGCCACGTCTTGAGCTCGCAGAATTCCAATTTTGACTAGCCATGCTTCGAGCATACAGCCGAATATTTTCACTGGCGAGCGGTTTGGATGACACAAGTTCTCGGCATGAAAAGTGAAGAAGTAGCTATTTACTCGTTTTCGTATATTTACTTACTTATCGCAGGACCCGAAGGCACACATTCATTTGAGCTGTACTCTCCACAGCATTATTATACACTCAATAAGCCTGAAGCGAGATGACGTTTTACCCCCGTCTCTAGACCATAATCCTTTTCTCATTGCTTTTGTTCTTTGATTATGACTATTGTTCCAGTATTCTCTAAGGAATCAAAAATTTTAATATGAAAGAATTTTAAAAACTATTATAGTATAGAGTCGGGGGTAAAACGTCATCTCGCTTCAGGCTTATTTAAGAATCGTTGTCGGGTTCAGAAACATAGAACATAAAAGCTGAGACCGAAATGGCACATGGGAAATGACATAATTATATTATAATTTATTCATTTCTGCCATCCATGCAGTCGGTTTAGAATGCCAAACGGGCAATTGAAAACAGCGGATGATGCCACCGGTCGCCGGTCACAGTATGTATCTAATTAACGTACTTCCCATGTGCCATTTCGGTCTCAGCTTCTATGTTCTATGTTTCTGAACCCGACAACGATTCTTCAATTGAGTGTATTCTATAGCGCGAGCTAAGAATGTATTGCTTCGGTAATTTTACCCATACTCCCGTTTGGGCTAGTCGGGTAGTCGCAGAGGCGGTCAGCGACAACGTTTTTTCAAAAGACTATATCACAGAGGTGTACGCAGTGGTCTTGTACCTCATTCACGCACATGTGTGTACCTAGCTCGTGGAAGGGGGGGGGGGGGGGAGTTTTTTGCATATCTTCTGGTTTTCATGCAAAATGAAGATTCATGTTCGTTAATTCTTTTATAACGAACAATATATTTGTTATCACCGTCACTTCATCTA